GATAAAAGCACTGGCCACTCTTCCAGAGGACCCAAGTTCAGTTCCCAGCACCCACATGACAGCTTACAGCTTACAGCTTCAGGGGATCTGACCCTCTTCTGGCCTCTGTGGACACATGCACTGATATACACATAAATAAAAATAAATAAAAATTAAAAATCTTATAAAAATACAGCAGCACCAGCTGGAGCCCAGGGTACCAACATCTGAGCCCTAGCGTTCATAGTCAAACTGCAACACAGGACATGCATGATTTATCATTAGGGTCCAGAAAGTTCTCCAGTGCAATCCATGGTCTGGAAGGCAGGTTGACTTGGGACTCATCTGCCTTGTTTTCTTTTTTCTTCCTGTCCTTGGGGTGAAGTCACTAAAATCATGGGCATCCAAAGGGATATTATGTTCCCATCCCCTGGGAAGAGTCCAGCCTGGCTTTAACCATATACCCCAGCATAGACCACCTGGTCTAACGGGGCTCTCAGGAACCCACTGGAGTGGGTTGGTGTCAGCAGGGAAGGCACATAGTTCCCAAGAGTTGGGACTCAACTACAGCTGTCTAATGATGCTCATCTGCTCTGTGTTCCTTGCAGGCAGAGAATGAGGACGGAGCCCAGGAGAACACCTTCTCCATGGACCCACAGCTGGAGCGGCAGGTGGAAACCATCCGAAATCTGGTGGACTCCTACGTGGCCATCATCAACAAGTCCATCCGTGACCTCATGCCAAAGACCATCATGCACCTCATGATCAACAATGTGAGTGGCAAGTTCCAAGTTCGTCAAGGTCTTAGCTGAGGCTCAGTGGGCTGGGGACCCAGCCGCAGCACCACAAAACCAGGCATGTTGCAGCACCTGCCAGCCAGCAGGAGGACCAGGAACCCACCATCACCCTCAGACACATGGCCATTTGAGGGCATCTCTGTTTATATAAGACCCTGTCTCCAAACCAAAACAGATCAGGCAAGGTGCCTCAGAAGGTCCACAAAGCTGTCCTCTGACATGCACACCATGATGCATGCATGGATGCACACACGTGCACACACACAACACAGAATAATAACACGTAACATTATCCCAGCAATGGGAGGCAGAGGCAGGCGGATCTCTGTGAGTTCAACGCCAGCCTGGTCTACAGAGAGAGTTTTAGGACAGCCAGGGCTGTTTCACAGAGAATCCCTCTCTTAAAATAGATAGATGGGTGGGTGGGTGGGTGGGTGGATGCATGGATGCACTGATTTAAGAACAAATTTGAGGCTGGAGAGATGACAGCTAAGAGCACTTGACTGCTCTTCCAGAGGTTCTGAGTTCAATTCCCAGCAACTATATGGTGGCTCACCTATACTGGGATCTGATTCTTTCTTCTGGTATGCATGAAAACAGAGCATTCATAAAATACATGAGTAATAAATCTTTAAAGAAAACAAGTTCTGCAAAGTTAGAACAAGTTTGTTTAGGTGGCTTTTTGTTTCTGTTTTTGTTGGTTAGTTGTTTCTGCAATGTTGGGGATTGAACTCAGGGCATGGTGCATTGTTGAGCTGTACCCCTACTTCTTCACTAGGGAAGCCATACCCCCAACCCCTCACTGAGGGATTCTAGGCAGTGGTTCTACAGCTGAGCCACACCCTTGCTTTTCTCACTGGGGTGTTGATTTTAGGCAGAGGCTCTATGGCTAAACCTCAGCCTGTGATGGATGCTTTTCTAGTCACATTAGGCTCCTGAATTCTTGGCTAGTGTAAGGATCTGACCTCTCCCACCATTGTCCTCAGACAAAGGCCTTCATCCACCATGAGTTGCTGGCCTACCTATACTCATCAGCAGACCAGAGCAGCCTCATGGAAGAGTCAGCTGAGCAGGCTCAGCGGCGGGACGATATGCTGCGCATGTACCACGCTCTCAAGGAAGCACTCAACATCATTGGGGACATCAGTACCAGCACCGTATCCACGCCCGTGCCCCCGCCTGTTGATGACACTTGGCTCCAGAACACCAGTGGCCACAGGTCTGGAGGGCAATTTGCCCCCTTGGGTCCATACAAGCTCCACCCGTCCTGTTCCCTGAGCCCCATCAGGAGATAGGCCCCAGTGAAGGCAGGGCAGGGCCAAGAGTCTGAATGTGAAAACACACAGGCCTGAGCACCTGTCCTGCCTAAAGCCTAAGGAGAGCCATGGCTTCCAAGGGCCAATCTGAGCCAGATCCTTGGAGTTAAAAACCACATTCAGCCTAATTCCCCACCAGCCCTTTTATCTTCTAGTGCTTTCTCCATGGGTTAAATACAAATAGAAACCAAGAGCAAGAAGTCCAAGGGGGATGGGGGCAAGCTGGAGAAATGACTCAGAGGTTAAGAGCAGTCAGTAGCTGCTCTTCCAGAAGTCCTGAGTTCAATTTTCAGCAACCACATGGTAGCTGTAATGAAATGTGGTGCTCATTTCCGGCCTGCAGGCATGCATACAGGCAGACTGCTATATACATAATAAACACACCCTAAAAATAAAAGCCCAGGGGACAGCTACCACAGAGGTTGGCCTCCTAGAACACAGAGAAGGGCGCAGTGGAAGTTTTAGGAGGCGAACAGAGCCCTCTAGTCCACAGAACCTAAGACTTCATTGGCCTCAAGATGGGAAGCATGGGCCAGAGACATTTAAGCAGTCAGTCAAGGGAGACTTCAAGACACTGTGGAGCCTTCAGGAAGAGGACCAGAGCTCATACCTGGAAAGATTCAGGTTTCTAGGTCCTGGGGAACAGGGCAGGCAGGTACCTCACATACAGAGGCAGAGGGCCACACATGTGTGTGGGAACCAGAGCTGGGCTCTGGAAGGGTCTTGAGCTATGAGTGTCCAAGTGCAGCAGTCCGGACACATTTGCCCTCAGAGCTTTGCTGTCAGGGTCACAAGAGAACCCAGTAATTTAGAGTAGTGTGGCTCAGGCTGTGATCCCCAGTCCTCTGCCCCCATCTCAGTCCCTTACAGTGGTGTCCAGTGTCCTCTGCATTACAGCCTGTCCCTCCTCCACAGCCCCACTCCACAGCGCCGACCTGTGTCCAGCGTGCACCCACCAGGCCGGCCTCCTGCAGTACGGGGTCCCACACCAGGGCCTCCCCTGATTCCTGTGCCTGTGGGGCCTGCAGCTTCCTTTTCGGCGCCCCCAATCCCATCCCGGCCTGGACCACAGAGTGTGTTTGCCAACAATGACCCCTTCTCAGCTCCGCCTCAGATACCATCTCGGCCAGCCCGGATTCCCCCTGGCATTCCCCCAGGAGTGCCCAGGTAAGGCCACAGCCTACAATGGGGCTCCCTTTGTGGTGACTTTGACTCTCCCTTCTGATAACTTCCACTGTTGCCCCAACAAGACATAGAGTTGCACAGGCATTCCTGCTTGTGTGCTGAGAAACTGAGCCCTCGAGGGCGTGCCTCCAGCGATCAGCTGACCCCAGGGGCCTGTCCACTAAGCAGCAAGTTACATGTCCTCAAAGCCTAGGCACCATGTCACTGATGCCTGGTGAGCTAGGTTCTGGTCTCCATTTCTGAGACCCAAAGAGGGCAGGGAAGCAGGCAAGATGGCACATCTGGTAAAAGTGCTTGCCACCAAGCCTGGAGACCCGAGTTCAGTCACCAGGACTGGTCTAGTGGAAGGGAACTTGCCTATTATACCCAGGCAAGCTAGTGATATAGGGATACCAGGAAAATACCTAGACTTGACACATTCCTTCCTGTTGCCCCAACAGGAGCACGTTGGGGTGGGCGGGCTGGATCCTCATGCTCACCCTGCTCTGGCCTCACTACCCCCCACCTCCCCCTTTCCTCTCTTTACAGCAGGAGAGCGCCCGCCGCGCCCAGCCGGCCCACCATTATCCGCCCGGCCGAGCCATCCCTGCTCGACTAGGCTGCAGGGGCCAATGCTCTGTGGGGTCCTTGTGCACCCACAGTGCAGGAGAGTTTTGGTGGTCTGGGCCCCATTACTGCCCCCCATGCTGGGACCATGCTCCCTGTGGGCAACCCCTACCCTGGTGGCCATGACAATGAGGGGAGAGGGTGGGGGTCCCAGACAGCACGACATGGGGGCTTTGCACTTTGGGACAAGGAGAGATCTCTGGTTGGCAGTAGGAACTGTATCCTGGGGACCATCTGGAAAGAAAGATCCAGGCTGGTGTAGGGGAACTCTGCCAGGGGCTTCTCCACACAGACTGTAAGCCTTCGTTCTTTCCTGGGGTACAGGAACTGTCCAACTTTTCCTACGGGCTCTTCAGGAGTGAGCCAGGCCCAGTAAGCTCAGTGCTGGCCCCAACTGGCTTAAGTTGTGTAAATGTATCTTCTTTGGCCATATTAACCACACAACCTGAGCCCAGCCCAGCCCTGACAGCCAGAGGTGCCTTTGTGCCTTCCTCAGGCCTGGAGGCCTCAGCCCTGGCCTGCTTGCCCCACTCTCTTCAACCCAATGTGGTGTGGGTTGTGAGCTGGGGAGACATCAGGGGCCTCTTGGCTCCCAGCCAGACTCCCCAACAGGGTGGCTCTAGTGCCTCTGCAGATCCCGTCCCGCTGCTTGGCTTGACCACTGTTAAGTGCCTGCCTCTGTGTATCCTACTAATAAACTAAAATAAAGGGAAGCCCTGCTGGTGGCTACGTGTGTGGGCCTTTTGTATCTGCTGTAGCCCGAGGGAGGCTGTCCACACTTCACTCCTGACATGTCTTCTACCATCTCTTCTGAACCCCTTTACCACTTCAAGATTGGGAACAAATATCCCTCTTGTCCCCATCACATAGGAATTCTAGCCACTACCCTGAATGACACTGTGGCCAGGCCCACGTCCAGGCCCCGAGCTCATAGGGACACGATTCAACTCTGCTTTATACTCTTTCTCTTTTGTGCCAGGCGACCACCTCCATCGGCTCCTGCCCGACCTTTCTTCTGAACTTCGTGGGAGTGCCCTCCCGCCTTCCTGGCTGCCCCTGGCTTGAGGCTGGGTCTGACCCAAGCTGATGTTCCCTGAGCCCAAGTCACCAGGCACTATTAATTTTTCTGACCATAATTTATTGACTCCAGTGCCCAGGACAGATGCCCCTTTGTTCCTTGAGGCTTGTAGGCAGCTGTGGTGGGGTTGCACCTCAGCCTCTGAGGTCCTGCACCCAGAGGAGGAAGGGGGTCCTCTCTTGGAGTTATGTTACCAAACCACACACACACACACACACACACACACACACACACACACACACGCCAGCTGGCTCTCCTCTGGGCTAAGGGGCCAGGACTCCTTCCTATCAAATAAAAGTGACTGTCCTGGCAAGAACTCTGCAAATGTGTCTCCTTCCCAGGCCCTAGCAAAGCAGGCTTATCCCCAGGAGCAAAGTAGAGACACTGAGGCTGGGATGTGTCCAGCTGGGGAAGAGCAAGGGGCAGCTGTACTGCTTGACCCCATCCTGATGACTGGAAGACTTAAGCTAAGGCACGATTTCAGGAGAAAACCAGGGCATCTGAGGGTCATATATCCCCACGCTACAGTACCCAACACTTCCAAGAAACAGGCACTGTTGCTGAGCCTCCCCTTGCAAAGGGTCTGCAATCTACTTGTCCTCCTGCTCTCCCAGGAAGGGAGACACATGGGGCCACTGCTGAAGACCCAACTGTGCAGCTTCTCCAGCAAGTCAACATGCCCGTCGCCCTCCGTCGTTTCATTCATCCTCTGGGGCTGGGGCTACGTGGGTACAGGGCGCTTGTCATGGAAGAAGCGCTTGAGTGTGCAGACCTGCAGGACGGCCACCAACAGCAGCACAGCCACATTGGCAGCTGACCAGAAGTTGACCCGCTCCAGGTTGTCTTCTTGAAGGTTCCGATCACGCGCCTCAAAGGCTCGTAGCAGAGTCAGCATCTGGATGCTCCGTTCCAGCCGGGTCCTCATAGTCTCTATGGATTCCTGCCAGAGCAGAGAGGAAGGGGTTAGGCTGCCTAAGTCAGATCCTCACCCATGCCACTCACTGGCTGTGTGACTATCAGCAAGTTGATTTGCCTCTCTGGCCTCATGTCTCATATCCTCCCCTAGAAACTCAGTATTTCTCTCCCCTATTTTTCCTTGATGTTTTCTTGTCTTTAGGTAAGATACATTTTTCCCTTACAGGGCAGCGGTGCACATGCTATGCATTCATAGCCTTACGGATGGGCTCTCCCCTTGGACCATGTGGGTCTCAGTCAGTCAGGCTGGGTGGCAATGGCCTTTGCCAGCTGAGCCTTTTCACCAGTCTTTGAGATAGACCCTTGTGTGTCAAATGCTGGTCTTTTTTTTTTTCCTTTTTTTTTTTTTTTTTTTTTGAGACAGGGTTTCTCTGTATTGTTTTGGAGACTGTCCTGAAACTTGCGCTGTAGACCAGGCTTGGTCTCGAACTCACAGAGATCCGCCTGCCTCTGCCTCCCGATTGCTGGGATTAAAGGCATGCGCCACCACCGCCCGGCCCAAATGCTGGTCTTATGTGCAAGCCAATGATGACTCTGAATTGGTAATCCTCCTGCATCCATGTGGTTTATGTAGTGCTGGGTGTAGGAGCTTCATCTGCCCTAGGCAATCGCTCTACCAACAACTGTCCCCAGATCTTTTCTTTTGGTTTTGTGAGATGGCATTGTGCTATGTAGCCCAGTTGATCTTGAACTCACTGGAACCCTGCCTCAGCCTCCTGAGTGCTGGGATTAGGAGCATGCACCACCACACCCAACTCACCTTGATGTCTTCCATTTTGACATCAAGCATCTCTTCTGGCTCCACAGCCTCAGCCCAGCCTTCTACCTCCTCCTCGTCCTGGAAACTGTCAAAGATGAGCTCGAAGAACACTAGCTTCTCTGAGATGGTGCTGAAGGAGTTGTCAAAGCAAAGCCTGTAGTCCCCAGCCTCAGTAGGCTCCACCCTGGGCAGACAGATGAGACACAGCCGTGACCCTGGAGTGACCAGCCAGCTGGTCTGTGGAGCCAGCAGGATGGTAACCCGAGGCCACTGGGGAGCTGCAGGGCTGTAACTGACCCAAGACAGGGCAAGGCTTCACTCACGTGTGCACCCCATCAGCCTTCCGAGACTCACTGACCAGCAGCACACCCTGAGGGCTCTCCAGGGTGAAGTCCACGTCCAGCCCAGCACCTCCAATCACCTGAAGAGCAGGTAAGAGTTGGGAAACAGAATGGGCAGGTTTGTGCCAAGCCTGTCTTCCACAGAAGGCCTGGGTTGAACCAAACTGGAAAAGACCCACATGAGACCACCATATTAAAGACAAACAAACAAATAAACATATATTTGTTTGGGGTAGGGGAGCACTTGTGAAGATCAGAGGACAACTTGCAGGAGCCAGTCTCTACGTCTACCCTAGAGTTCCGAGCCTCAGGCCATCGGGTTTAGGTGCAAGCTCCGTTACCCACTAAGCCATCTGGCTGCCCCCAAGCGCGTTATCTGAGCACCGACATCCACACCTGCAAAGTCCCTTCCTGGTCCCTAAGATGCCTCCAAGTGAGGTCTTTCATCAGGCCACCCCGCCACGCCCTTGAGCAGTCCACGTGAGCGTCTACCTGTCTAGGAGCTTACTGTGGTCACCGACCGGCTAGCTGCCAAGGCCCGTCCTCCAACCCTCCCCAAAGAGCTTCCAGCAGAGCGGGTCATCTCGGCAAGACTAGAGGCATTCCAGCCACGCCCCTTCCCGCCCCTCGTGCCTGCTGACCACGCCCCCTGGTCCAATGCTGTATCCCGAGCCCGGACCCTCTCACCTGGTACTCGGTCTCCAAACTAGCATTGGCCGGTGCGGACTGGTAAAAACACTGCTTCCTCCCGGCTGGAAGCAGAAATGTAAACTCGCCGTCCTGAATGGGCGGCGGCCCCGCCTCTCCCGTTCCTAATGCAGGCAGAAGTAGCCACAGGGCCAGGGCTATGGCCGCGCCGGCCGCCATTATCCAGGTCGCCCTCTACTCACAAAGCGTGGGTTCTTTAAGAACTAGTCCCGCCCACCTCTCATTTATGCGGAGTTCATTGGCTGCAGCTTCTGCTCTGCCCAAAAACCGCGGAATGCTGTGTGAAGGGCCCCAAAGAGGCGAGCTGCCCGGGTGAATGCCTAATCTGCTAGAAAAACTACTGACTCTGATGTGAATTTTGTGAAACTTCTCCGTGTCTGTTATTAACCACTGGAGTTGGGGGAAAAATGATAGACCTGAAATGATGAAGCGCTTTTTTTACAGGCAAAAATTAAGATGACTAAACGGGAGGTTTGAGGGTCCTCTTGTGGCACCGCCTGTCCTCGTCCCTACCCCCATTCCAGGTGCAAGTCTCCCATTGATCAATCTGGTGTGAGCGGAGCCTGTCGGTGGTGGCCACTGTGTTGGATCCTGATCGGGAGGTGTAAGGAGGATGCTAGTTCACAGAGCGTGGCCTCCCCGGACTCAGCGCTAGCCGCTGCTTCCCTTCATGCCTTACACCATCATTTATAAGGGTTTGGTGGTGAATAGAACATGCCCTCACTCTACATCCAATTGGACTCAAAAGCTTTGGGCCAACAGGTCCTCATGCATCTGTGCTGACAGACGCCAAAGTTCCAGCACTCAAGGCTGAGGCTGGAGTTGTGAAGAGTTCGAATTCGAGGCCATTCTCAGCTACATGGTTCCAGACTAGCATAGGCTGAAGAGTGAGACCCAGTCTTCAAAAATGAGGGCTATATTTGGCCTCGAGATTGCACAGAGGATAAAGGCTCTCGCTGCTAAACCTCAGGACCTCAGTTCAATCCCTAGGATCCACATAGTAGAGAACAGAACTGATTCCCACAAGGTGTCCTTTGACTTCCATGCACACACACACAACACTGTGCTTTTGTCCCCTCCACACAAACTAATCTGGCAAAAAGGGATTCTCCCGTGAGGAATTGCCTTGTGGGCATTTTCTTCATTGCTAACTGATGCAGGAAGTCCTAACCCACTGCAGGTGGTACCATCCCTAGGCAGGTGGGGCTGGGCTGAGAAAGGAAAGGGCTCAGCGGTTAAGAGCACTGGCTGCTCTTCCAGTACCTATATGGCAGCTCATAATGTTGTGGGCAAACTCTGAACCCCAAAATCAAGAGACCCTATCCGATGCAAAAGCAAAGAGTCTTTAATTTTTACAAGTTCCACCGTTCATCCAACACAGCAGGTGAAGCAGGCAGGGAAGCCTGAACAGAAGTGGGGCAGGGAATTTATTGGGGTAGAGCAAGGGGAGTGTCTGGAGCCCACAACACGCAGGATTGGTGCACTTCTGGGTTTGGGTGGCTGTCCTGTGTTGATTGGTCAGCTGGTTGTTTTGACCTGTAGGCCCTCCGGGACGGTTGCTATGCTCTACACATCACTGTTACCATAAAGCACATCCAGAGCCTGCCAGCTAATTTCTGATTGCTTCCTTGCCACATGGAGGGCATCTGACCTCCTAGTGACTGGGGCAGCTCTTGCAAGGTCAGACAGCTGGGAACTAAACAACATGTGCTCTGCACGCTTTAGCAGCCATGAGAGGCTGCAGACATACATACATACATACATACATACATACATACATACACACACACACACACATACATACATACATACATACATACATACATACAGGCAAAACACGAATGCACATGAAACAAATAAGTAGTTTCAAGTGGGGCAGTGGTGGCTGATACCTTTAGTCCCAGCACTTGGGAGGCAGAAGTAGGTGGATCTCTTGAGTTCAAGGTCAGCCTGGTCTACAAAATGAGTTCTAGGACAGCCAGGACTACACAGAGAAACCCTGTCTCAAAACCATAAGGAAAAGCAAGAAAAGTAGTTTGGGCAAGCCAGTAACAACTGTATTTCCTAGTCCCTACCCTGATCAGCTATGGCTGGGACATGTAAACTAAATAAATGGTTCAGTCTCCAAGTCGCTTTTGGTCATGGATTTTATCACAGCAACAGAAACAAAACTGGAATACACATAAAATACAATACAAAGAAAATGTTGGGTCAGGCATTATGCATGCCTTAGTCCTACCACTCAGGAGGAAGAGGCAGGTGAATAATGAGTTCCAGGTGAGCCAGGGCTACACAGTGGAAGTTCTGTCTCAATAAATTAAAAATACATACATTAAGAGCATATAGCTTGGTGGTAGAACATTTGCGTAGCACAAGCAAGGCCCTAGATTCAACTCCCAGCACCACAAAACAGACACACACCAACAAACCCCAAGTTAGTGAAGTGACCTCAGAAAAGGTAGTTTAATTAATTTTGTCATTGTGACACAATCTGGAATCAGCTGAAGAGAAACTCTCAATAGGGATTGCCTGGAACAGGTCAGGTTGGGTGACTGTCTTGATTGTTACCTGAGAGGTTAGACATGCCCACTGTGGGAGGTTCCTGGATGTGTGTTCTGAGCTGTGTAAGACTCCAGACAGGGAGTGGGGTACTGAGCGTGCATGGTATGTCCACAAGTCTGTCGTGACTGTGGATGTGATGAGACTAGCTGTCTGCTCTGATGAACTGCAACTAGGAATTGTGAACTAAAATAACTTTGCCCCTAAGTTTCTTTTGGTCAGGGTGTTTCATCACAGCAACAGAAGTGAGGTGAGTCTGAACACAGTCAAGGTCAGGTGAGCAGGCCTCAGAGCAAAGGCTCACATCCCAGCCTTCCCCTTCCCCCCCAGACAGGGTTTCTCTGTGGCTTTGGAGGCTGTCCTGGAACTCGCTCTGTAGTCCAAGCTGGTCTCCAACTCAGAGATCCACCTGCCTCTGCCTCCCACATGCTGGGATTAAAGGCGTGCGCCACCACTTCCCAGCTCAAATCTCAACCTTTAACATACTTTAAAAATCTGTACTCCACCAGCTATAGTGGAATGTGCCTTTAATTCCAGCACTTAGGAGGCAGAAGCAGGTTTCAAAAACCTACTCCAGGCTGGTGTCCTCTGTCTCTGCTGAGGATCAGGATGTGAAAGTCTCATTGATCAGGCTAGGTGGTAGCTGTGCACGCCTTTAATAACAGCACTCAGGAGGCAGAGGCAGGCAGATATCTGTGTGTTCAAGGCCAGTCTGGTCTACAAAGTGAGTTCTAGGACAGCCAGAGATACACAGAGAAAGCTTGTCTCAAAAAAAACAAAACACGCCGGGCGTTGGTGGCGCACGCCTTTAATCCCAGCAGTTGGGAGGCAGAGGCAGGCGGATCTCTGTGAGTTCGAGGCCAGCCTGGTCTACAAGAGCTAGTTCCAGGACAGCCTCCAAAAGCCTCGGAGAAACCCTGTCTCGAAAAAACAACAAACAAAACAAAACAAAATAATGTCCGGTGTTGGTGGCGCACGCCTTTAGTCACAGCAAAGGTTCACATCCCAGCCTTCCCCCCTCCCCCCCAGACAGGGTCTCTCTCTGGCTTTGCAGTCTGTCCTGGCACTCACTCTGTAGACCAGCCTGGCCTCGAACTCATAGAGATCCGCCTGCCTCTGCCTCCCGAGTGCTGGGATTAAAGGCGTGCGCCACCAACACCCGGCTGTTGCCTTTTTTTTTTTTTTTTTTTTTTTGGGGACTGAGACACACTTAAAGAAATGTTCAACATCCTTAGTTATCAGGTAAATGCAAATGAAAGCAACTTTGAGATTTCATCTTATACCAGTCAGAATGGCCAAGATCAATTAAAAAAATGACAATTTATGCTGGTAAGGATGTGTGGAACTGTGGAATAAAGAACACTCATTCTTTGTTGGTGAGAGTTTAAAACTTGTACAGCCACTATGGATATTAGTGTGGTGGTTCCTTTGGAAATCTGGGAAAAAGGGAATTGATCTACATCAAGATTCAGAAAAAAAAAAAAGATGCAGTTATACCCGACATGGGTATCTACCAAAAGGGTTCTACGTGCTACAGCCATTGCCAGGAATTTAAAACAGCTTAGATGTCCATCAACAGATGATGGACAATGAAAATGTGGTCTATTTACACAGTGGAATAGTAATCAGCTGTTTGAAAAAATAAAGTAAGCCGGGCGATGGTGGTGCACGTCTTTAATCCCAGTGCTCGAGATGCAGAGGCAGGCGGAACTCTGTAAATTCAAGGCCAGCCTGGTCTACAGAGTGAGTTTCAGGATAGATAGGACTGTTTCACAGAGAAACCCTGTCTCAAAAAAAAAGATAATAGTAAACATATATGAAAGAAATCCAAATGGAGTCACTAAATAACAGGAGACAAAGCTCCAACCAGACATCTCTTGCCACCAGGTGAAACCTCCAGAGCCAGGAATCAGTTACATCCAATTGAGTTGTTGTCCAAAGAAGCCCCAAGGAAACTCTCAATTTAGGCTATTGCCAAGGCTGTTGGCTGCTCTTTAAAAACTGATGGTAAGGCCTTGAAGACAATACATCTCATCGAACATGGAGAAGTCAAGTCAAACATGGTGCCTACCTAGAACCTTCACCCCTACTGACTAAAGTAGGGATGATACTGAATTCATGCTACCAGAAGAGAAAGGCAAACACCAACCCTGCTACAAACCCTTCAATCTGTCCTGGTGACCTCTGCCTGCAAGACATGCTGGCGTGATCATAGCACAAAAATTGTGGGAGTAACTTTGTGACATGGCCAATTCCATGAGATGCAGCCCATGCTTGTCACTGCTCAGATGCCCTAGAACCTAGCACTACTGCTCTGCTGAAGGAACATAGCAATAAAACGGCTCCTAATGGCATCCTTCTGTACCCAGAGATCACTCAGTGTCTTGCTCAGCCACCCTCAGAGCAGCTTTCTCCTGCATTAGATGGGAACAAGCACAGACCCACACTGGACAATGTGAAGAGAGTAAGAGACCTTGGAAAATTCCATCCTAAAAGGGCTGTCTCCATCAAATCCCTCTACTCAGGGCTAGGACTACGTGAGAGGAGTCAGGGAGAGTGTGAGAGCCAGAGGGGAAGGAGGACAGCAAGGAAAACAAGGCCTCTTAGGCAGACAGGGCTGACACACATG